GAGGTCACCTCACATACTGCAATGCGAGGCTGGGCCTCCTGCACAAGTTTATCTGAGGTCATTAACTTTCCCGAATAATTCCACTCCCTGTTTCTGCCACGGCCTTTTAGGGAGCTGCAAAGGAATGCTGCTGATATGCAGTTGTTAAACCAGGAGTGCCAGTGGAACCTGCAAATGGTAGGCAAGATTCTTGTAGGCAAGAATCAAAACATTGCTTTCCCCTTTACTCTCCATCAAGACACATCAAGGAACCCTTTAGCGTGAGACTGTATTTGTCTCCTAAATCAGTGTTTCTCAACCTTGGCAGTTTGAAGATGTGTGGACTTCAACTTCCAGAATGAATCCTTGGACAAGACGTGGGAGCTGAAGTCCACACACCTTCAAGTTGCCAAGGTTGAGAAACACTGTCCTAAACAGGAACGTTGTCTTTTCTGCTTTATGAACCAGAGGGCAGGGACCACCAAGCAGCTGCCGTCAATGTCTCTGCACACTCAGACCACCCCCCTTCTCAAATGGGGTCTTGCTTAGCTTAGAGCTTCGCAGGAAGAAGCGTATCGTGGCCCAGAGTGGAAGTCATGGCTTTGATGTTGCCCTGACTGGTAGACACTCTCTCTTCACATTGCACAAATGTTTTTATTTATTTATTTATTTTTCGTATTTCTGAACCACCCATCTCCCTCAAAGAGGATCTTTGGGTGGTATACAATAAAATGTCAAAATATAAAACAGTGTACATAAAAGGTAAACGCTTTAAGAGGAGGCAAGACATTAAAATTAGTCAAAAGACAAGGGAGGGTTTAGGGGATTAAGCAGCCCCATGGCTGCAAGCTCCCCCAGCCACCCCTGCAAGGCCACAGACGAGGGGTGTCAAACTCAAGGCCCAGGGCCCAGATCCTGTAGGGTGCTTAGATCTGGCCTGCAAGGCTGCCCTGGAAACTGCGATGGACCAGCCGACAGTGCCTCTGCCAGTGAAAAGGGAGCTCAGGAGGGCTGCGTGCGGCCCTTCCGAGCTCCGTTTTTACTGGCAGAGAGTTGCAGGAGGCTGTCTCAGCTGAAAACAGAGCTCAGGAGGCGCCCCCGACATGTGACATCGAGCTGGCCATGCCTGCCCTGACCATGCCCCCCCCCCAAGGTCAAACACAACCCTGATGCAGCCCTCAATGAAATTGAGTTTGACACCCCTGCCGTAGAGGCAGGTCTTAACTCCTTTTCAGAAGGCCAGTAGACCGAGGGCATGCCCCATCTCTGGTGGGCTGGTGGTGCGGGGTGTGTGTGTGTGTGTGGAGAGGAATCTTCCACAGGTGAGGGCAACAACAGAGACCAATGACATTTCAGGCCTGTATCAGGGCTTGAAGAGTCTGGATCATCCATTTCCTCCAAGATCCTCTGGAGTGCAACGCTACCATCCTCTCGGTCACCGTCCCTTTTTAGGGAAGGGACTGGACAAACGATGTCCAGAATGTTGGGGCCAGCAGTAGCCTCTTAAGTGGGGAACAGCACCTCTTTAAAGGAGCTGGGAACACCCCCTCCAACAAGGGTGAATTCCTTGGATCCATCCCAGGTGCCTTAAGCAGCCAGGAGCAACATGGATGGAATGCGCCAGTGGTGACGTTTGCATTCCAAAGGATCCCGTCCACTTCCTCGGCTCCAACAGAATCAAACCCTTCCCAGATAACTGGACAAGTCTCCCTGGGCATCTCCACAGGCATGTCTGGCTTGCATCATGTTTGGTATTTAAGTGGGAATGAATCTGAGCGATTTTATCCTCCAGATGCCTGGGAAATTCCTCCGCACAGCCCTGTAGTAGGTGTCTGGGTCACCCTTTCCAAGAAGAGTCCATGTGACCCTAAACAAGGCCGCTGGGTGCCAGTCTGCAGATGCAACGAGAGCCCAGTGGTATTGACGCTTGGCTGCTCTTACCACCACAAAGTAAACCTTAATAGTGGCCTTAACCCCTGTTTGGTCGAGTTCCTTCTTCCTTTTCCTCCAGCACCACGGTGCCAGGCATCTCTTGACCCTTTCCAACTCCCTCATGGGAACCCTATGGAGTGATGGGCCAGGAGAGGCCACATCATGCCTAAGACTCCGCCTGACTCCCTATGCCAGGCAGCCACCAAGGTCTCAGCAGGACCATGTAGTAGATTGGCAGCGATTTACCCCAGTTGCCTCTGAAACCCAGTTGGGTTCATCAGTTGCTGGGGTGGAGGAATCCAGAACCTGAACTCCTCTCTTTAACCAAGAAGAAGCAGAAGGATCTATGGTGCACTACCTGAAGACATTGCACATATCCTGTTTGGCTGCAAACGGCATTCTGCTGAAAGGACCGTTTGCTTAGAGCTCTTTTAAAACCTAAAAGACAGTGAGACACTTATTTCCTCTTACATTTCTTCCAGGGAACAAACACGCACATCGCTAGCAAGACTGCCATTTTTGTATCATCACAGTCAAAGAAGATAAAAGACAAAGGTGGTGTCCTAAGAGAGATTGGGTTGAATGCTGCATTTATTATGAACATGCCCTTCTCTTTTCTCTGTATTAGTTTTAGAGTTTTTTTATATGCTCAGACAACTAATTAATAAAACCTGCTGATTTAATTCTGAATTCAGACATTCAGTCTTTCTTTGGTCAGGGTGAGGATTTCACTGCAGGTGGGTTGAACTTTCCAATTTACCACTGGGTGGTCATTCTAACTCCAAGTCCCAGTCAGGGTAACCTCTTTCTGGAGGGCCCCACTGGGTTCCCTCCCTCCCTCCCTCCTATCCTGCCTTTATTATTATTTTTACAAAAAATCAGTCAAAGCAGTGAACAACATGCCTTCCATTTTCCCCACCACAACAGGCTACGACCCAGGCATGAAAAGGATTGGGCTGAGGAACCGTGTGCCCACAAAAAGCTGACTTTGGGGGAAATTTTAACTTTGAAAAACGCACTCGGGCAGAATTTGCAGTTATTTTGCAATAACATAGCTACTTTCACAATTACCAATTACAGTATAAATCTATATATATAAAAGCGAAAACCACTCGCCGTAATCACAAAATCTCCAGAACCGTAAAGCCTACAAACTTGAAATTTGCCACGTATGTTCCTTTTGGCTTCTAGCTGCTCACGAAAGGATTTTTCAAAATGACCATCAGAGCATTAGTATTTCCCATATTATTATTAACACGCTCTGATGATAAGGAGTTCTACTCCCACTCCCTACCTGTTCCAAATGGAAAACACAAGCAGAGGAGTTTCACTTTCAGTTTCACTTTCACAGCAGCAAAGGGGATAGGATAGGGGAGGCTTCTGTGCTGTAAGCCTGAGAAAGAGAAGGGGATAGGATAGGCTTCTGTGGAGCAAGGCTGATGGAGAGAAGGGGATGGGATAGGGGAGCCATCTGTGGGACAAGGCTGAGGGAGAGAAGGGGGATAGGATAGGAGTCATTTCTGTGGGTCAAGGCTGAGGGAGAGAAGGGGAGAGGAGAGGCCGATCGTAACTACTCATTAATTTTCAAGCTGTGTTGATTTATCAAGCCCCATCACACAGTTTCATAGTGAAGCACGGGTATCTATTTTTGAAACTTTTGCAGAGTTTTTTTTTAAAAAAGTCCAAGTCTGATTCATCTTAGACTTGGTCCAGATTACTTCTACTAGTTTAGGAGGATTTGGAGAAACTAAATGTAACTTGTGGTGTAGTAACCCTTTTTAATACAGGTGACTCTCACTTAGTAACTGCACTGAGACCAGCGACTGTCACTGAGTGAAGTGAAAAGTCACATGACTGCCGTTCAACCGATCCAGCTGCGGTGATTAAGCAAATGACTGTGGGTTGTTAAGCACAATGTCACATGACCGCCACCTGCGGCTTCCCGCCAGCTTCCCCAACGACTTTGCTAGTCAGAAGTCAGCTGTGTAGGTTGCAAATGGCGATCATGTAAATATGGGACAATGCACCGCTTGTAATGAGGGCTGATGGCCAAGCGCCCAAGTTGTGATCATGTGACTGTGGTGACAACACAACAGCCACAATGTCAAGGACTTGGGTCAAGTCTCCTTATTCAGGGCATGTTTGTTTGAACTGTTTGCTGAACGAGCAGTCAGAGAGCCAGGACCACCTGTAGTAGAAGGAAACTAATGAAACCAGAATAGCAAACTGGAACCTCTTGTAGTAAACCAGTAAAGAATTGCTTTGAGCAACACGAAACTGTTTTTCCATGCTCTTAAAACAAGGTTAGTATTTGGCTCTGTCCAAAATTTGAATATCATAGTAGAATGTTTCTAAGGCATCTACTGCGAATTTAAGCTGTTCCTCCTGGCTGTATTCTCCGAATCTGACATGGATCAAGACAACATGGAGATTGTCTAACAAAATTAAAGAATTCCTCACTGTTTGAAAGGGAGGGTGTTGTTGTTGTCGTTGTTTTGCCTGAAGGGCCCAGAGGAAGACTTTGGAACAGGAGAGTCAACATTCGAAGTTCTGCTTCCAAGTAATTTTCCAGGCTTCCCCTTCCTCCTTTTTTTATGACTGGGAGGATAACATCTGAAGTTAACCCTCTTGAATTAATGCTGGTCTGTTGTGGACTGTTCAGCACTAAACTGACGTAAGAGGAACGCCAACGCCTCTTCATGCCAGGCGTCCAAAGGCGGGAGGGCCCCGTTTCTGGCTTCTCGGGCTCGAGCGCGGCGCCCCTTGCAAAGGCCGCTCGCGGCAGTTAACAAAACGACCGTCGGAATCCCGGCCGAGCAGAAGCCGACCGCCGACAGGGCTCCGCCGGCCTTCCCCTCCAGGCCACCCTGGCCGCAAAGCGGGGCAGCCGACGGGCGAGGGCCGGGCCTTTGCCCACCCTTCCTCCTCCACAGGCGCCCGCGCGCTCCCCGCACCGCCACACCCGGCACGGCTTTCCGCGGCCAGGCCAGGCAGCGCCGCCGCCTCTTCCCGGGCTGACCGGGGGGGAGGCGAGGGGCCGAGCTGTGGGGCCGTCGCGCCCTCTCGCCCCACCCGCCGCCGGGACTCACGGTGCCACAGGAGGCAGAGCAGCCCCGCCGCCGCCGCCACGCTCCGCCACGAACCCATCGCCGCTCGGGACGCGCCGTCGGTCCTCGCCGCTGGCGCGGGCAGCCGCCCCGAACCCCGCCGGCCGCGGCTTCCCAGAAGCGACCCTGGGCGTCCCGCTCCCTCTTCCGCGGAAGGGCAGGGCAGGCTCGGCGGGCCACGGGGGCGGAGGCGGCGTCTGCTGGGGCCGAGGGAAGGGAGGGAGGCCGGGCGCCGCCTTCGCGCGCGCTGGGAAGGGAGCGGGCTCGGCCGGTCTGCCCGGGGCGCGACGGGGCCGGGAGAACAGAGCCGCCCCTGCCTTGCGGGCATCCCTCCTGCCCCGCGCCGCTCCTGGCGTTCGGTGGCTGCTGGCTCGAGCAGACGGAGCGCGCCCCGGACTCTGCCCGCGTTCCCAAGCCGCCCTGGGTTGCGTTCAGCGGTCCGTCTGCGCCCTTTGGCAAAAAGCGGCGTCCGTGGGGTAGAGAGCCCCTTGGGCGGCCCGGGATCGGGAAGAGTAAAGACACCCTAAAATCCAAGGCAGGAAACTGCCCTCCCCCTCAGCAGAGGATGACGACCCCGGGGGCTTCTCCACAGACCCTTGGGAACTCACACCTGCCTATATAGGCTATTTTCATGTCGGTTTTAATAATCTCATGTAATAAATTATCTGTGGTCAAAGGTTTCACCTGTCCAGTCATGTCCAACTCTAGTTTCTTAGCTAAACGTTGTCCGTGGTCATGTGGCCAGCATGACTATATGCCAAGGGACATGTAATGCTTCCCGCCAAAGTGGTACCTATTTATCTACTCACATTTGCAGGCTTTCAAATTGCTACATGGGCCGCAAGTGGGGCGAGTCACAGGCGCTCACCCCATCGTGCAACCCTTGGGTCTCAATTGGCGTTCCAGTCTCAGATCTTAAATTGTTGAGCCATCGCACTCCTTTGATATACTTAAAGTGGTATATGTATATGTGTAGGTATATAGGTATATATAAAGTGGCATGGTATAAATTATTCTGGTTCATCACTATCAGCCATATGTTCTGTATACTATACTCAACAATATGAAGCCACAGCTACCAGTTTCTTAGCTGGTGTTGCTGTCAGATGCATTGTGTTCTCCCCAAGAACCCACAATATTTTAACCTGTTCACTTTTTTCTACTTTTCCTACTTTATTTTCCTACCATTTTTTTAATTACTGGCACATGATAACTTTTAGATATTCCAGTGAATAATTTGGGCAACTGTGCAATGTTGTTAATAATCCATTAGTGTCATCTTACACAAACTGAGTATGTATGATCTACTGTTGCTTCTGCTTCTTTGCATTGTAGGAAGAAATATCCTTCTGGGTTCAGCTCCAAGTGGGGAAAAAGACACTGGAAACATGGAGACAGCTTGGAAAGATGGTTTAATGGCGGACAGGATCACATGGCTTGAGTTCCTGAACAGAAAAGGGCCGAGATGCAGCAAGTCCCCGGGTTTTATGCTCTCTCTGGCTTTGAACTTCCTGGGGCCCTGAAAGAGTATCCTGATTGGTTATCAGATTTCCAGGGGGTGGGGGGTCTTAGCTAGCCTTGCTGGCTGATGTAATCTTCCCAGGTGCCATGTGGTGAGTTTCTGTTGCTAGATGGGCCCCATTGTGTTAGTTTCTGTTGCTAGATGGGTTCTATTGTCTTGCAGGTGATTGTCCTTTGACAAAGGATTGGGTTTCTGCCTCTGGCCCATTAATAAAGGGTGGGGGGCAGGAAGGTGGGAGCTGCTTTGTCTTTAAAACATGCTTCTCCATTTCTCATCCAGGGAAACATAATATTCTGCCTTTTTAATATTTCCCAAAATATTTCATTCTTCTAGGTGGGTGCTAACTTCCTACACCATAATATGCACTTTGAATCCTTTGATGATTTTTCGAAAGTTTGGGTGGGTGTTAGAGAGCTAGCACTTTTTACCATAACCACAATATCAAGTTAGATTGAAGCTGATTTAAGGCACCAGGCTAAAAACCAAGAGGCCCTGAGTTCTAGATCCATTTTAGGCACAAAGCCAGTGAATCACCTCAGGCCAGTCGCTCTCACTCAGCCCTAGGAAAGAGGCAAGAGCTAATCACTCCTAAAAAAGTTTGACAAGAAAACAGCAGGGAGCAGTCCAGGCAGTCACCAGAATAAATAGTGACTCAAAGACACAAAACAAAACAGCCCCAAACCAAACACATGGCAGCCTGGATTAAAAAACAAGCAGTATGGACAACACGGCTCATACTTTGGAAGGTCTTTGGAGCCTTCCAGGAACCCCATGCCTCCCTCTGGGGGGTGGAGTTCCAGATGGTAGGGTTGCTTCCTTGGTCCAGAAGATGGCAACACGGAGGCCCGTTTGGAGAGAGGGTGAAGGAGCGGGTGAATTCTAGTCCTGCTTTAGCATGAAGGTTGGCTGGGTGGCATTGGGCCAATCCCTCTCAGCCCAACCGCCTCACAGGATGACTGTTGGGGAGAAAAGAGGAGTATTAAGTAGGTGTAACCAAATGCATAGGGATAAATAGGAAGTGCCTGGCTCAATAACAACAACTGTTAGGTATCTCAGTGGGTCACCGCTTACGTATGATCCAGCAACGTTCTGTAACGGCCACAAAAGCCAACACAGTTCTAGGCTGCATTAACAGAAGGATCACTTCAAGATCACATGAAGTGTTAATACCACTTTATAAAGCCTTGGTGAGGCCACACTTGGAGTATTGCATCCAGTTTTGGTCACCATGACACAAACAAGATGTTGAGACTCTAGAAAGTGTGCAGAGAAGAGCCACAAAGATGACTAGGGGGCTGGATGCTAAATCGTATGATGAAGGATTGCAGGAATTAGTTATGTCTAGTGAGTCTCTGGAAGAGAAGGGTAAGTGGGATCATGCTGGGGTGGCATAAGGCTCCTGCCTTGAGCAGAGGGTTGGACTAGAAGATCTCTGAGGTCCCCTCAGCCGCTTCCTCGAGTCACGCTCGGGTCGGCGGCTCCGCTTTCCGTGGCAACCAAGGGACCCTTCCCCCGGGAACTAAAGCCCCCCCCCCGGGTTTCAGGGGAGCCGTCGGGCCATCCGCTCCCAGAGATGCGACCCGCTCCTCCTCCCCCCCCCCGACATCGAGGCGCCGCCTCCGCACCAGCCAGGAACGGAAGGGAGGCGCCCGCGGGCTGCTGCAGGCCTCCGTCCAGCCGCCAGAGGTCGCTCCGGAGAGCGGAGGAGGCGCGCTAACGAGCTGCCCTGCCCGGAGAGCGCGCGCGGAAGCCCCGCCCCCGCCCGCCATGGCCGCCGCGCTGAGCGACGCGCACCGGCGCTTCCTGCAGGCGCTGCTGGCCCGCGGGGTGGTGGAGGCGGCCGAGGCGGAGCGGCTGCGCCGGCTGTGCTGCCAGCGGCACCCGGGTCAGTGGGGGCCGCCCTTGTCCCGAGGGGCGGCTCGGGGTCCCCTCAGAAGCCCGGAACGGCTTCGCCGCCCTGGGGCCCTGTGTGTGTGGGGGGGGGGGGGGGGGGGGGGGGGGGGGGGGGCCCGGGGCGGGGGGGGGACACGGCTGCCTGACGCTCCCCCTCCCCCTCGTGCCTCCCGGCAGCCCCCGGCGCCAGCGACGCCCTGGACGACTTCCTGGCCGCCCTGAACGCGCAGCTGCAGCCGCTCTCCATGGAGATCCGGAGGGGCTCGGCGGAAGACAGCGGCGGCGCCTACGTGGCCCTGGTGAGCTGCCGACCTACGAGGCGCCCGGGGCCCCTCGGGGGTGCAGAGGCCTCCCGTGGCTGGGCCCTCTGACCCGGCGCTCCCCCCCTCCCCTCCCCCCAGGTGAACCTGGCAGAGACCGACCTCACCAAAATGGCCAGCGACTTCTCCGAGAACGAGCTGGAGCTCTTCAAGAAGACGGTAAGTCCGCCGCTGCCGCCCTGGTGGCTCGGGAGGCCTCGGCGGCGGCACCTGGGAGGAGATGAGCGGATTCCGCCTCCCCAGGTCAGCCAGACGAGGAGCCCGGGTGTCGGGGCCAAAAGGCTGACTCCGTAAACGGCCCAGAGAGGCTGGAAGCCCCGTGAAGCGGCAGAGCAGCCTCCCCACCAATTGCTACGAACAAGGGGCCTCCCCCCAACTCTGGGCAGAAGAGCCTCCAGAGCTTGGTTTGACATGCCGCCGCTGTCCTGCTCCACCTGGGTGGTCAGCATGGATTCATGGCAGAGGCAGCGGAAAGGCCTCATTGGTGGTGCTTTGAGAATGAAAGAGTGATTTGAATTGGAGCTTCTGATGAAGTAGAGGGATTCTGCTGAGATAAGAGTTAGATAAATTCTGGACACCACAATAACTCCATTTGTTTAACGTTTACATTTTATTGAGTTTATCCTGGGGCCGGACTTCAGTCTCGCTTGTGTGACTCTTGGTAGGATGGATTTTATGAAAGTCTGGATGGAAGCTGGAGGCACGTGAACCTCTGGACCATTTATGGGTTCCTTGTAGCCTTTCCTCTGTTTCATAAACTATACCGAAGTTCACCTACACTCAAATGAAGAGAGGGATGAAAGTAACAGAATTCTGAGGAATATTGGCAAAGGTTTTTTGTGGCCAAGTATAAGGATAATAAGGATAATGGATTTCCTTTAAAGCTCTTAGGCAGAGTAGTCATTTTTTAGAGCTGGAGCGGTTGAAGGCACCTAAGTGAGGTGGTCCAGCTTTAGATCCCCTTCAACCAGAATGTGCTGTTTGCTTCCTCTCCATTAATTCTGCTAAAGGGAATTCTTTGGGAGAGCAAGGAGGAGAGGAATTGCCTTGTATAGCTTCTCCAGTAGTTTTAGCAGCTCCTGGATCTCTAGTATTTTGTGCTGTGAAGTGGCCTGAATATGTTCTAAATAATCCATGAGGGCTCCTGGGTGGTCTCTGAGCTTGGTTGTTGGTTGCACTGGTGATGTCTATGGAGATTCCGAGTCATCCAGGTCATACTTGACTCAAAGGCGCTTTTTCAAAAATGCAACTGGACGGTTTTTCCTTGAGGAAGACGTTTCACTTCTTATTCCAGAAGCTTCATCAGTTGTGGTGGTAGGGGGATGGTGGTAGATTGATGTTCCCTAGTTGGGTAAGGAAACAGCTGCAAGCAAACGGTCTAGCTCAGAGAGCACCAAGGACCCCACAGTTAAACTCTGAGCTACAGAGATTCTCTTTCATTGGAATAAAAAACAACAAAAATATACAAATCTCTCCAGGGCTGTAGCCATAATTATCTATTCAAGGAAAAACACATTTATTAAGTTCTAGTCTTTAGTTCCTACATGCATTCTGCATCTTGGGTCCTGTTAGGCCATGGGAGGAGGGGAATAACCCATCGGGTCACACCATCCCTGATTGGAAACTATTGGCGGGGTGCCTAAGATATGGCACCCCGTGTCTGTCTGGGGAAACAATTTTGGCAGAAGTAACATTAGGTCCTTTGTTTTTACAGCTGGACTTGATCCTGATGTCCGGGAACGGCTTTGCATCGTCCACCGAGATCTTGAACTTGGCTGACCAGTTGAAGCCGAAAAAAATGAAGAAAATGGAAGTGGAACAAGTGCTCCAACAGCTGGTGCAGAAGAAGTGGTTGTGTGAGGTGGGCAAAGGTCTCAGTGATGACAGGCACATCACCACACCACCTGCACGTGAGGGAGGAGGGGCTGATGGGCTCCAAGGATGATTGACAGCTTGTTGATTTGTTTTACAGAAAGAAGGGGAGTACACCCTGCACATCCGCAGCATCCTTGAACTGGAACAGTACATCTTCCGCCATTACCCGGAGTCTGCCCGGAAATGCCATATCTGCCACAGCCTTTCCATTCAGGTAACTCTACCAGCCCATCTTGTGGCAGGTGCAAGAGACATGGATCACCTGTGAAAAATCAGTAGTAGATTGGTAATTAATGGTGAACTAACCTTTCATCGGCTGCAGCTCAGTCCTACCTCGTAACAAAATCTGTTACTAGGAAAGAGGGCTACCAGACTCCTGATGTTTGGCTGCCACAGACTAAGGCAGCTGCTGCCCTGCAGTTTCCAACTGTAAGCAGGTGATGGGCCAAACCCTGCACATTAAGATGGTCAACCCCTTGGGTGAATTCCTGCCCATTTAGCAACTTTTGCTTGGACTTACTGCAGAAAAGGGCGTCTCCTTGCTCAAGTGGCTTCTGGAAGCAGGGCTCCCACCACAGCAAAGGCTGGAAGGTCCCTGGCAGTGGGTGGGCAGTTTTTTGTGAGGAGGGTCCTCCTGCTTGTAACATTCTGTTCTAGAGGCCTGAGCGACATAGCTTTGCCCTGTCCCTTGAACGCACAAGGCTAAAAACAATTACAAACCTCCAAATGCATTTCTAGACTCTCCTATAGAGCAGCTGGTGGTGATAGAATAGAGGACAAGCCTAGCCAAGTCTGTTTATGGAGAGCTACCACACCCTTGCTTCCCTTGGAGGCCTTAAGATTCTGGCAGCATCATTTCGTCCCAAATCATCAGAACCTCTGAAGCAGCTGAGGAGGCAAAATTATCTGCTCAGAGGCCTGGCCATCGTCTGTACGTGTGACTCAACGGGATTGCTTCCATTTCAGAGTCAAGTGTGTGAGGACTGTGGAATTGTGCTCCATTGCTCTTGCCTTTCCAAGTATTTCCAAACACAACCAGAGCCCCGTTGCCCTCACTGCAAGCAGTTTTGGCCTCACAGGATTCCAGGTAAAAACCTCAGGGTGCCGTGTCTGTCTGTAGAATTATCTGTTTTTCCTAGGGAGGCGAGGACAACCTGGCTGCAGTGTCTGATCAATACAGGCGATTTGGCCTTTCATTTTATGAGACCGCGAGGCTTTTCTGGAAGCGGCAGCCTCGTTCTTATAGAGGCTTTTTAGAGGGGAGGACCAAATGAAAACGGTAACATTTCAAAAACAGAACTACCCTGACCCACAGAGCCAAAGCCATTCTTTTCACAAGTTGAGCTGTCTTGCCATCGCCATAAAAGTGCTGGCTCTGGGATGTGAGCTGACACCATTCTGGCTTATCTTCCTCCTTCAACTCATCCTGCATTTTCTCCTTCGCTATGCAGACCTCCATCCTCCCAGCCAGTTGCCCTCAAGTGCCAGGAGAGAGAGCAGGAAGGCCTCCAGGACGGGCTTCAGGCACCAGCAATAGCAGCTGCCGCTGCCGCCTCTGACCTCTCGGATGACACGGAGGAGCGGGTTCTTTCTCTGGGCGCACCTGGACAAAGTGGGGCTGTGCGGGGGTTAAAAGCTGAAACTGCACAAGGGCTTATGCTGCTGTCTTTATTGGCAGCCATGTTGCCTTCTTTTTGCTTTGAGTGGTGGTTGGGCAGTTGGCCTGCTCCTTATTTACTGCCCGTGGAGCATTGTCCTCAACATTTCTCCTTTATTTTATAAAGGGAATCACTGTAGATGGGTCCTATCCCACTTAGCACAACAGGACATGCCTGAGCAACTATTCCATTCACCCAGCGGGCGATCCCTGCCTCTTCCCAAATACATTTTGCTCTTGGCATCACTCCCCCTCTCTGAATTGATGGGACTTGAGTGGGTTGTAGATCCATTAGGGAATTTTAATTTCCTTGCATACCTCACCCAAGAGCGGATCCCTTTGGGACTCTGCAGGATGACTTGCTTAAGCCATAATATTAGTAGCTGAGAGTGACATATTTTCTACTGACAAAATAAACTTGGGACTGAATATTGAAAAGTGTGTTATTCCAGGGCATTTGGAAGTAGCAGGACATAGAAGAATAGATTATTCTGCTTGCTGTATCTTTGGATGGGTGGGTGTACTTTTCTTGGATCAGCCATGGCATTCTGTACCTGTACCTACTCTTGGTTCCTCTTGATCTGTTCTCAGCATAAACTAGGACCACCAGAAGCTAACAGAGAAGCTGGTTTCCAGGGCTCGAACATAATGCCAGTAACTGGCCGGGATAAACAGGACCTCTCCAGGGCTCAAGATACAGTCTTGAAATGCAGCTGCCTTGAACTTAGGAAACTTCACTAAGTCGGGGTCTTCCACATCGACCTGCAAAAGAAATGCCTCTTTTAGATCCGACACTTCAAGAAGCTCAAGAATACCCCCCTTACAGCCTCAGACGATGGGGAAAGAAATGTCTTTGACACTACGCGCCTGTGGCAAAGCCTTTTTGGGCAGTCAGCTTTAAAAATCGCAGTGGATAACTAGCGGCCATCGTTTCGTAAGTCGCAGGTGTCGCCCACCTGGCTGGTGTTGTGAAGAAGGTGCCCTTCATGTGGATACAGTTTTTCAGACTGATCAGGAGAGAAGAGGCGGATGTATTTGCGTCCCATCACCTGAAAATGGGAACATGAAAAGTTAATTGCCTGTCATGATGGGGAGATGGGAAGATGTATGTTTGTCATCTGCCCGCCCTTCTCTCATGTTCCAGACTAGGCCGCTGCAGGGATGGCATGATTTCTTCATGCCCCGAGAGTTAGAAGGAAAGCCATGGACTGTATCCCTTTTTCTACTAATTCACAGGGTGAAGTTAGCAGCCTGCTATGAAGGCACTTGGAACACCCAGCAAATATCTTCAGTGCCCCATCAATAATTTGGACCAACTGAAGCTGTGGAAAGATGGTGGTCCAGAGCAACCTATTGCCCAAAATATTATGTGAAGAACCACAAGGGGACAGCATTGATTCTGCCCTGGCAAAAACTTCTGAAGGATGTAAACAAACCTGGACCAAGAAATTTTGTTGTGGATCCTGGTGAAGAGGTGAGATGGTCCCTGATGGGCCGAACCAGGCATTGATGGTGATCTCCTCTTCATCATTTTTGCCCAGGCAACAATAGTCCGGGATGCCAATGTCTTCCTTCAGCTCTGGGATCTAGTGATTCCCATCAGAAGTACAAGTCAAGAGGGCGTTTGAAGTATTGCATCATGCAGAGAACAAGTTCTGTAGGTACCTTGCCATTAAAATGTTTAGGCGGCTTATGGGAGTGTAAAATTTACACTGTAAAATATATAGCGTGAAAGCATCAGAAAGAGAAATATGGAGATGACACTTACACGTCTTTCATCAGCATATGACCCCAGCTGTATATTACATATGTATAAGGGTAACTTTTTCTCCAGTGATGTTGGGAGGCATTAGGCTGGCATGCCTGTTTGCTGGATCAACACCATTGGCTCCCCTGAGAGCCAGTAGCAGTTGCTCTTCCTTCTCCACTTGGACAGGGCCCTGGCCTCTTGCACACACTGTGTACCCTGCTCCTTTGACTTGGATATCAGAGAGACTGACGGCCAAATTTGGGCTCCACAGTCTGACATCCCTCCCCTCCCCTGTAGCTTGTGGGATGTTGCCCAAAAGACCTTCAGCCTACGTTGTATGGCGCTCTGCAGCAATCCAAAGGCAAAGTTATTTCTGCCTTGGGATCCACCATGCTCAGTCCCTAACACTGATCCCTTCCCCTCCTTGCTCAGGGTGCCTCTTCTGTAAAGAGTAAGAAAAAAGGAGTCAGGGCAAGCTTGCTAAAAAATTGAAATAATACTGGATGTAGCCATACACTCAATGCCATTTAGACTAAACACGGCTCTCATACAAATATATTTCCACAGCAAAAAGCACCAATCCAATACTCCCTGTGCATCAATACCAATGGAGCTTTACTACTGGGGTGGGCAATGGACTTTTGCTATGGAATCTGAGGGTCTCTGTGATGTAGCGGCAGCAGTCTTTCCCCCCATGGAGTCCTTTAGGACATAGCTGCCATCAACCCAGGCCAGCATGGTGGACAATCTGCTTCCAGTCATGATGCAAAACATCCAAAAGAGCACTAGGGTGAAGGGAGCTACTGCAGCAGCATGAGACAACATGGTTGGTCTACAAGGGACAGGATCTTCCCCAGTAAGGTTTAATATATGTTGATTTGCTTCTGGATCCAATTCAAAGTGCTGGTTGTCACCTTCGTGTCTTGGGAGCATGTTATCTGAAGGACTATCTCTCCCAGTCACATCTACCCAACCCACCCCAGCAGGGAGGCAGGGAATGCAGGACCAAGAAGGGGCTTCTCTGTGGTGGCTCCCTAGCCTGTGGAATATCAACCCCATGGAGATAAGATTGGCCCCCATTCTTGCAAGGCCCTGAAGACCTGGGTTTTGCCAACGGGCCAGGGGACCCAAGTGAGATGGAGCCCATCAAGTGGCTTATCTGATTGTTATGCCAGGAGAGAGACAGGTTTATGTTTTTTTTTATTGGGCTTTTATCCTTGTAAAAGTGCCCAGAGTCACTGAGACTCAGGTGGGCAGCCATATAATTTTTCATAAATAAATTGGGGGTGGAGGAGGGTTAGGCTTCTGACAACTTTTTTTATCAAGAGATCTCTCTGTGTGAAGGGTAATTGGAGGGGGCCTGAGTCCTTTTGCCTCTGAGAACACACTTTGGGGTGTGATTCAGGGCAAAGAGAAGCTCTGGGATCCATAAGAATTTCCGCATTTACCTGGTCAAAAAGCTGGTGCTGAGCAAGGTATCCGTTGGGATTCTGGCATGAAAAGGAAGAGGCAGAAGAAATAGACTGAGCCATGTAGTGCAGCAAGAGGCAAAACCAGCCTTTGCAGGAGACCCCCCCCCCCCCCCCCCCCCCCATTTGCCCCCGTAAAGACTGACGGGACCGCCGGCCCTGCCCTCCCACTTTCCCTGAAGAGCTGCTCTCTCTAGCTCCAAATCCTGCAAGGCAGCCCCGCCGCTGCTTCCACGCCTTTTGGCCACGGAATACCGACTGCCAGGGAAGCTTCCCCATGAAGGCAGAAAGACCGACTCCTCTCCCTGCCCCTCCCCCGGGGGCTCCGCTGAAGGAAGAGCTCGGACCTCCTGCTCGACGAACCGGCGGATGAACTCGGCGACCGTCATGAGATTTTGGGACCAATCTTGGTCGGTGTAGCGAGCGCCCAGCTCCACCGGGACGGTGCGGTTGCCGGCCAACTGCAGCAGGTAATCCACGCTGCGGCAAGAGAAGCCGGAGGTCTGACCGAGAGATTCCCCTCCCGCTTCCTTTGCCCCCCTGCAGCGCCTTCCCCGCTCCGCGTCCACCACGCCGGCCGGGCAGCGGGAAGGCGGCGCTCACCTCCACTTGCGCAGGCAGGGCCAGTGCTCCACCACGCCCTCCAGCACCAGCGGCGCCCCGGGCAGCAGGAAGCGCTCGCGGAAGCGCTGCAGGGACGGGCGCCGCTCCCGGGACACCGACGCCCCCGACGCCTCCGCCTCCGCCGCCTGTGCCGGGGGGCGCTCCGTGCGCGGCTTCTGCGGGGGGGGGGGAAGGGGAGGGGTCAGAAGGCGGCCTCCCTTCCCGCGCCCCCCCTCCTCCTCTCCCTCCCTCCCTCCCGCCGTCCTACCTTGCGGGGCGGGCCGTCCGGGGCGGGCAGGAGGCGCTGCAGGAGCGCGGCCAGGCGGGCCATCTCGGGGCCGGGCGCGCCCAGCAGCAGCCCCAGGTCGCAGGCGCGCAGGGCCTCGGCGCAGGCCCCCCGCGCCCGGCACAGGCAGAGCGCGCGCAGCAGGCAGGCGTGGGCGAAGAGGCGGCGCCAGGCGCGGCCCACGCGATGCCACGGCCCCTCCTGCAGCCGCTCCCACGCCCAGTCGCCCAGCCGCTCCGCCGCCCGCAGGCAGGCCTCCCGCGCCGCCGCCGGCCACCCGCCCGGAGCCTCGGCCTGGCCCAGCAGCGCCGCCGTCTCGCCCAGCAGCGCCGCCGCGCCCGCGCCCACCTCCGCCGCGCACAGCCCCGGCCCGGCCCGAGCGGCGAGCAGCACCTCCGCCGGCTCCAGCGCCGCCCAGCCCGCCCCGTCCCCCTCCCCGCTCATGGCGCCCCCCGCCAAAGCTCAGCCTGGCCGGGAACGGCGCCCGCCACGCGTCACTCCGAGGCGCCGCGGGAGCTCCGCGCCTGCGCGGACGCTCACTTCCCACCGCCGCTGCTCGTGGGCGGCGTTCGCCCAGCAGGACGCCAGGGGGCGGGCTGGCTGGCGGCGCTGCCGCTTCTGAGTCGCTGCGTGGGCGGGGCTGCGTCTGGGGCGGCAGGGGTGGAGCTTTGGCCGAGCTTGCAGGCCCAAGCCCCGCCCCCGTGGGGGAGTTCAGCCGGTGACCCGCCCCCCGAAGGGTTGAGCCTGGCGCTCGCCTGGCGGCTCTCGGGGCGAGAGTCTGGGCGCTTCTCTCGGGACGGCCCGTTCAGTTTCTCTCAGCCTTGGCCGCTTTCAAGACGTGTGGACTTCAACTCCCAGAATTCTGCTATGCCGGTTGGGGATTCTGGGAGTTGAAGTCCACACGTCTTGAAAGCGACCAAGGCTGAGAGAAACCTATTTGAATCTATTATTAATTCTGATTGTGCAGCAGATGGGAAAAGGCTCTGGGCCTGGGCCTTCGGGAAGAGAACCGCCTGCTCTCTGCCTCCTCCTGCTCGGGAAGGCGATGACAATCCCCAAGGCCCTGCGCAACGCTTTCCTTATGAAATAAAATTCTTACCTACCTTGTCACCTTTGGCCCATCATGTTGGTCCTGAGGATTGGCTTTTAACAGTTATGGTTTGCCTGACTGGCTCATGACTTGTATATAAGCCACGGTGGCTCAGTGGTTAGAGTGCAGTACTGCAGGCTGCTTCTGCCGGCTGCTGCAATTTGACAGTTCAAATCCCACCAGGCTCAGGGTTGACTCGGCCTTCCATCCTTCCAAGGTGGGTAAAATGAG